CTACCTACGTTATTTTTTGTTTTGTTAATATTATTATTATTATTTTATCATTTAATAAGTTAATGAAATACAAATAAATAACCTGCAATATAACATGTATATCAAGCTAGAATAGCACTAATTATTTAAATCATTTATAGACTAATTTACTGCATTTAAATCATAAACATTATATAAATTTCAATAAACTGTATACAATTTTTTACTTTTATGCAACACGATATTTTTCCCATCATTTCCATGTACCACTTAGCTATGTTTAATTTTTTTTTAAACACGTGTTCAAAGCAGGTTTCTTATTAATTATTTATTATAGTTAATATTTAATAACTAATATAAACTTTTGACCGGTGCATAAAATTGAGTGATGCATTTCTAGAGCATTGAATGAATCATTTAACACGCTAAAAGTCAAAGATGTTGAAAAATGATTTGAGTAAACATCATTTGATTTCAAAAAGTACCTTTTTTATAAGATAAATGTCGTTAATTAGAGCACTATGTGTTTTGAAAATGTATACAGACGTTATTAGTAGTTTATATTAATTAGTAATATACTAAAATAAGCATATACGAAAAACGTGTGAATGTTTGCAATTTAAAATAATTGCAATTAACCACATTTATAAATTATATACATAGGTAACCACATCAACTCTATACTGAATTTATAACCATCTTTTTTAAATATGAGTTAACAAGTCGCTTATTAGTTAATAGACTTTACCTATTATCGTTAGTATTTATAAATTCATTTAAGCTCAAATAAATATGATTGCATTAGATATTTAACATTAAAGTTTTTTTTTTTTTAAATTAAATATTAATTTTAAATGTGAATAATGTTTTTACTATACTTTGTATGAAGATATGTTTAAAAAAAGTTGAGCATTGATTTTTATTAGTTATTTCTTAGTTCATACTTCTTACTATACTATTTTCTAACATTTAGTTTTATAATTAACTTACAATATTACACATTTTAATGTTTATATTTTTTTTCCTATTTTTTTTATTTCTCTATGATTATAATTTTTAAATTTGGCTCTGATAAGTAACAATTTGGATAGACTAGTTAAAAAGTTATTCATGAACTTATTTTATTAAAATAATYGTTTCATTGTCTTGGCATATAATTAATATTTTTAATTAGGAAACCATTATAAGTTACATTGCAGTCATGTATAATACAATAATACATTTGATTTTTAAATATTCTCATAAATTTATAAATAATAACACATATCAAGATATATATATTTTAATGGAAATTATTAACCATTAAGTACCGACATTATTTATAAAAACAAATCAATTTTAATTATGATTTTATTTTCAATTTATAGTAGGTATATTATAGAATTCATCACTTATAAATTAAAAGGAACGAATATTATCCAGGGTATAACGGAAGATTTTATTGATATTATTTTTAAATTATTTTTTAGTAAGTTATGACCATTTTTAAACATTATTTCGTACATTTTAAAATCATTAAAAAAGTGAAAATGTATTTTATACATTATAATATATAGATATGAATCTTTAAATGAAATAATTAAACCTTATTTAAAGTATTAAAATGATGATAATATAATGTATATAATACTTTGATATATATTCTATACAGGTCACAGGTGTTTATTAAAACTAAAAATCCTATTGTTATCCATTAGGTTTATTGTAATAACCAAAATACGATAATTTTTAGTTAGAATCTCACTATTGATATTAATAAAAATCCAACCAAAAATAAATCGTATAAAGGAAGTTGTGTAAAAACTGTTTTGTTATAAGCCGGGAACTCGGGAAAATATATTMTTTTGAAATACCTACCAAGATCTCTACTATAATGTAAAAAACCAGTTCGTCACAGGTAGTGACAGTACCCAACGTTACCCAAGGCCACGCCTCTGGTACCTTTAAATCGAGGGAGTCATACCTAATTCACAACGGTCAGCAGATCAAATATTCAATTATTATTATTCAAGTTTTAATAAATCGAATCTCTCAAAGAATAAAAATAAATTCGATTTATATGTTTTTTGAATTATATGTATGAAACATAACTTACAAACACTTCAAAAACTATGAACTAATTTGAATTAGGTCCACTTTGAGTTATTGAGGTCCAAGTTGTAGGTAGGTACTATTATGAAAACAGTTATTGGTCAATAACATTAGTAGTATTTAATATATAGAAGATTATAGAAGATTAATAAAATAATATTAACAAATATTTACAGATTTACAATTAATCTAAAAATAATCAAAAAATATTGAGTTGTTCATATTATGCAAATATCATTTGTAGGTAGGTACTTCGAAGAATTAAGAAGTCTGGTATTACAAATTACAATACAACATTTATTTCATAATGAATCTTCAATGTATTCACTAATTTTCTTTTATATTTAGTTATTTTGCATTAAAATAATATTATTTTAATTTTATCCGTGGAGCAGATTAAATAATGCCTTGATGTAAAAAGATATTTACGAATCGTAAACTATTTCAAACGTATGTACATGAAATTGTTATGTAATTAATTGCAGGTAGACTCGTAGCTTCGTAGGTACTCAATAAATCAAAATAATTATATTTTGTATTTTATTTTTACAAACTTACCTAAAATAAGGTAGTCTGAAATTTTTATGAACAGAAAACTATAAATTATAATTGTCGTAATGTGTATAATAATTTCTTTGGAAGAAAATATGAAACATTATAATTATATACTATAAATTTCTATGTCTATAATCTCAATAAATAAAATTTTATAAAAATTGAAAGAAATTGTCTCTTGTTTTAGAACTATTAATAATATTTCTTGCCTTTTATACTTGTTTTGAGTATTATAATTATGGTTTTTGTACTGTTTGTAGTTTGGTAAAAATTACCGTATTTAAACCACAACTACTTACAAAAATTGTATTATATACTTATATTTGTTGGTTTTGATAATATTTTTGAAATCATTTATATATGTTAGTAATCTGTTTAGAACATTCATGTAACTTAACAAATTTGTTGTATAACTAATATTCCATAAAATGTTCACCATGACTATTCAATGGGACCTCGCATAATCCGAATGGTGGACACTATAATATGAATACCATTTCAGGTAAATAATTGTATATTGTATCCTCTCCGGTCACAAAAATACCTATAGTGGATTTTAATCGCTGGGGTTGCTGGCGCCATTGTGACAGGGTCAAACAATTCCAAACAAACTACCTACTCGTATACCTACCCAAGATATGTCAGGGCATCCAACATTAAATCGTTTTACTTTTACGTATATAATGCATTTAACTGTTGTATACATTATATCTACCAACTTAATTATATTTTAACAATATGAAGAATTATGTAATACCTATATCTGTATTACCAATAATCACATAGGTACCTATAYTATTTTTTCACTTGTTTTGAACAGGAAGTCTTGGTAATAAAAAAAAATCAGTCTACGTTTATTAATTATAAATTTATTAAATATGATTAAACATGAATATTAAATAAGTTGAGATAAAATTATCACTATATTAAATTAGGTCAAATCAAAGTGTATAAAAATAGTGTAGAGTAATATAAGTCACATATATCCACTTCTAAACATTGTAAATCCTATTTAAACTTCGATTTATCCAGTATTTAAAATAAGTTGCAATTATATGCTAAATTAACAGCAAGAGTTAATCAATTAACAATCGAGTTTCTTACATAAGTTAAATTCACGAGGATGTAGACACACTCCAACAGAACATAAAATCAGGACGCTTGAGGTACCTAATTGTATATAATATATTCAGGTAATCATATAAATTTAACAATATACGTTGTACTCGAATCTCAAGGGGCATAAAATATTCTTAATAGTTAAACAAATACCTCAAAATTCAAATATACCTAACTATTGTAAACACTTTATGAAAAAATTCGAATACCTAGTTAATGTTTTGAGATTCGAGCTATCTCGAGTCTGTTGTATTTTCATCGTGTGCAGTGGCGTATGTATGTATTTAAGCACAGGGGTGCTCCTAATTTTTCGGACCCCTTATAAAATTTCAGTTGCTACTTGTTGATTAGGCCGATTATGGGCTCGAGGGCTCTATTTATAAAACACAGCTAAAGGGCCCTGGCGCAATGCACCTCCTGCACCCCCTCTAAGTATGCCACTGATCATGTGCTTATGTAATAAAAAATCAATCAAAAGGAATTTTAAATTATTTAAAGGAAGATTTTTATTTTTTACATCCATAATATTATGATTAGAATTAAGTTTGATTATAATTTTGAGTATAATTTCAACCATAGTCAAGCTTATTAATCGTGACATAATATCTTTTGTAAGTTTAGAGTAAAGAAGTGCAATTATTGAATAAATATTATTACTTCTCAGTAAAAAATAAATCAATGATTATAGCAGCTGCAGCAAGTTTAGAATAAAAACTTGAATCAGACCTGAAACGATACTTTGGGTCAAATCCTAACAGGAACCAGTTTTGCTTTAATGTGTGTATCTATGTATAAGCTATTGTCTGCGTTCATGAATATATTCAGTATTAACAATATTTCTATCCGTAATAATATTATGGAAAAAAATATAAAATTAACGAAGCTGTAAAAACAAACGGTTTGATCGAATCCCGGATGTATACCCTAATAATAACATCTTATATTTAAAACGGATTGAGCGATTATAAATAAAACTTTCGAGTAGATTTTTCTCGATTTACTTCGAAACCGAAAGAATGTCGTGCATGAAATGATTTACAATAAAATACGGCATGCTAGCCTATGCAATCGTTCCGAAAAATGCATCCGAAACCGCACTTTCCCCTACCGGCCAGTGGTTCTTCGCACCACGCCGCGCGCGCCACCACCGCGATCTCCCACCACCACGGTCCAAGACCGCRCCAAAACAACCTGTTGCCTGTGACCGGGGGGCCGAGACGAGCCGATGCAATACTCAAACCGGACGACGGACACACACGCTCTGAGCGCCGGTGTTTAGTAACGCATACCGGACAGTTCGGGTACGTACGTGGTCGCGGTCGTCGTCGTGTGGACACAGCTCTGCCTTACCAGTTCGTGTCCATCGATCAGGATTTAGGTACGATTGTATGAGTTGTATCACTCGCGTACAGTACGGTTCTACGAATTCTGCTATACATCGTTTTCACGTCRACAGACAGTAGTAATTTGGCACACCACATCGGCTCGAAACGGTACACAGGGTATCGACCAATAACCACGTTATTGGTACCTATAACCAACCCGTCCGCGTCAGATTTGAGATTCGTATCACACTGCCGTCAATATTTTATCATCCAACGACCACCGAGCGTCTCAATCTTCATCACACCGTGCACATCGCCGCTCTTGCAGCAGCTGGTTTCCCGTCGTATCCGCGTTTATGCGCATTAAGTTATAGTGAGTATAATAACATTTTGACGTCGTAATATATGTAGGTACCTACATAATATATTATGAATTTGATATTTTATTTGGAATTGCACACATACGTACTATATAATGGGACATATACATATCTTTTGCGTACCTATATATTATTATTATACTTTATTTTATACCTATGCTTATTTGACTTATCAACTACACAATTTTCATCCGCCACACGTATTATATCGCGATAATTCTGTTGTAGAACGCACACAGTAATAACTGCACACTAAAATATGATAATATGTAATTGTGTTCAGATATAATATAATATGCCCTCTATCTATATTATATACCTTATATGTGTACAACAGTATCGTTTGACGATAATTTTTATTTTTTTAAAGAAAAAACAATACGTTTAATACTATAAAGGTACCTATAAGTCCCACATGTATATACTTACATATAACCACGCGCGTACCTAACCATCTGAAAACCAACGGATTTCGTAAAATATAGTATTATACTAGCGCGCTTAACCATTCGAAACCCAACGGATTTCGTTGATGCTATAATTAGTAATAACAATACATAGGTACATAACTTAACATAGACTGTAACTCTTTTCCAAAATGGGGACGGTGAAACATGATATATTAATGTATACCTTGAATACATTAAATCGAAATGCTATTGTATCAATAAACGTATAATGTGTGGATTTTATTGGACAATTGTGGACAAATGTGGACATACAACTTTATTATAAGCTGAATTCTTTTTTCTCGAGTGCCGTATTCATTATTGAACGTTGGCAATCAAGTTAGCTATTTATAAGCTGAATTGGATACATTATAATCTACAATACTTTAAATTTAAGCATATAACTATAGAAAACACTATAGTATTTGAAATACAATAATTATATTATCATGAGCTGTATATTCAAATACAGAACTATAAAATAATGTGTTTTTAGCTTGAACTTATTCTTTTTATTATGTATGCCAATATAATATTATTATGCATGACACTTACTTTTTTAATACTTAATTCATTTTTTTCAAATTTAATTAAATCAGTCGAATAATTCGAGGAATTATTCCTCGATATGCACTAGAGTTATAAAATATATAGGTACACATCACCAGATTAACAGTTTATACCCGGACACTTTACATGCTCTTTTGTATTTCTTCCTTTCTAATAAACATCTATCCTGGTGATTTTTAAACCGTAGTATTGATTACACCACTATAAAATAACAGTATGACTGATTTTAATTAAATGGAGAAAATATTTGTGAGTTCACATTACAATCAATTTGTTTGTCATTTGTATAAATGCCATGTATCCTGTAGTGTCTTGTTTAAATAGTAATAATGTTTTTGTAAAAAATGAAACAATGTCTTCTCCTCATTGCCTACTAATTCATTTTTAATCATTGGTGTGGATAAATACTGATCAGATAACTACGATAACCATACGTTACGTATAAAATATTTCATCAGGTAAAACTCACATAATATGATATAAGTTAGGTATATAGCTATACCTATTTGCATTTTGTATGAATTTTATTAGAAAGAATTTGAAACGTGGTATTTGAAAAATAGTATTGAACTTGATGGTTTCAATTGAATCAGAAATGTAATTATTATTATAGGCAAGTGGTGCAAGTCTATAGAAGCTTAGATTCAATTAATAACGAAATGCCTCATACATTGCTGTTTAAGTTCTTTAAATTCGAATTATCAGAGAAAAATGACTAATGGGTGGCTTGAAAATATGTTTTACCTACCGAAAAAATGCAATTAATAAGTCGTAACCTAGGCATACAATATTCCATCCGGTAAACTAATGAGATAGGTGATAGTCGATTGGTAAGTATCCTAAATTCCAAAATAATATAATGTATTTTATATGAATTTTATAATAAAGAATTTTAATCGTGATATATCCTATTAGTCTTTAATTTGACAGCTGCACCAGTAATGTAATTATAATAAGTAAATCTAAAATCAATAGAAACTAAGATTTAATTAAAAACGAAATAAGTTATAAATTGCTTTTTAAATTCATTTAATTCTAATTATCAGAGAAAAACTATTTATTTGTGTTTTAAAAATATGTCTCATCGTGAAATACAATTAACAAGTCACAATCTATGCATCCGGTAAACTAATGAGATCGATATTAGGTATGGACACTGTATGAGAAAGTGTTCTAAACAGGTTAAGGATTTTTATATGAATTTTGTTAGAAAGAATTTTAATTGTGATTTTTTTCTATTTAGTCATAAATTTTACGGTTTTACCAATTATAATTACAATAGGAAATAAATATAAAACAACTCATCAATTGCTGTTTGAATTAATTAAATATTAATTCACAGAGAAAAACTGTGAATAGGTGTTTTAAAAATGTCTTACCATAAACAGACAAATAATAAACCTACCTCTTTAATACTAATAATTAGGAAGACAAGAGAATTTTTTGTTTATTTCAATGTTTTTCATAATAATGTGTTTTTTTAAAGTTTTAAGTTCAAAATTTAGTTTTTATTTAATTTAAAACATTTTTAAAGTTTTTTAGGGCAATTTTTAGTGAATTTTTTGATATTAAAGCATTTATTTAAGGCACTAAGTCGTATCTTTTTAGAACATTTTTCTTTTTTTTTATGGCATTAAAGCATTAAATCATTTTGCAACTTTCCAAATGTAGATTAGTCTAATAGGTACTACATAGAATATATTAGTATTGTGGTATTCACTATATTATGTATTATATCACATATACTTAAATTAGAAATAAAATATTATATAAAATACAACACTTAGGTACATAATGAAAGATTTTTACTTTAAAGTGGTAAACAATGTTACAATTTAACAAGCGTAATTTATGTTAACATTTTAGCAGTTCTTGGGTATTTACATAGGTCCTAACCCCTAAACTATATATACAAAAATGGATTTTCGTCTGTTTGTCATTTATACATTCCTAAACGGCTGGATCGACAGCAACGAAATTTGGTACAGAGATATATTAGACCTATTGGCAAAAGATAGGCTAAATTAAAAAGTGATAGGCTCAAATATCATTCAATCGAATACTTGAATTATCAGACTTTTCTCGATAAAACGAATAAAATTATATAATGATAAACTAAATTGAATATCGGTGTAAGATTATTGACTTAGTATATTTTAACCGTTATCTATCTATGTGTATAAAAGTATACTGCAAGCAAAATCACAGGACACGAATTTAACACACATTTTGAGACATATAAGATGAGGTAGGATTTTAAACGACCTACAAAGTGCATGGGTTCAGCTAGTAATAAATAAAGGCTTGTGATTATTATCATATTTTGATATTTAAACTTAATGTAAGTTTAATAATAAGTTAGAATTTATTTACGCTAATTATCAAATAGTCATAATATATTAATAATTATATTATATATTATCAATTCCTAAATATTTCAATATAAATATTATCTTAACGAAATCTAATTAAAATATAATCGACTTTTTAAATTACGTAATACATATGATCTAAGACTAAAGATTAACTATATACTTGAATATTAATACATTTTATTTCATGTGTATTAGTTTAACAATAGTACAAATGTTGAAATGTGCCCTATATTCATATTAGTTAATCCCCAATAATCAATTCTCATATACATGTATACAATTAGTAAATACATTATTTATTATTATTATTTTTTACTACCTATTAATATTAAAATACAAGTAGAATCAGTAAACGTTTTTACGATAGGCATATTGGTTGAATATACATTATAATCATATAATAATTCGAAAAAGTGGTTACATTTTATATTGACTCAAATAATAATTCGTAATTAATACCTTTAAGTATGTATCAATTGTAATTTATCATGTAGTACTACAACGACATACCTATAATATATGAAATCTATGATAGGGTAATATACAATATACCTACTTGTGTATTGCCTACTTCCTAGAGTCAAGCGTTTCTTTTCTATCAGCTAGCTCTACAATATTACGACTTCATTATTATTTTGCAATATTTTATCCATTTGAATACCTATTATTTTTCTTTTATTGTTATGACATATTTGTTTTTATTTTACATATTAGTACATAATGAAACTAAATCGACATTAAAATTCTTTCAATAAATACAATTTTTAGATTTTAAGTAAGGTCATGCTAGATTCGTCGTTGATATTTCTGTAAAAATGTTTTTATATAGAAAAAGTTTTAAATGATGTAATATGTTATGTGCCACTGTGCTATTGTTATACGTATTATGTAAGCGTTTAAATTACTAGACAAGAATTTTGGTTTATATCAACATTTAAAATACATGTTACCATATTCCACATTGCCTGGCCAAATATCTAATAATTATGTACATATTATATATAATTTATTATTTTGTTAGGTACATAATATAATATCGAAGAAATCTTTGTTTACATCGCAATAGATAAAATATTTTATAATACATTGTTTAAATTTTTATATGTTATACTTAGGTACCTAATTTATGATCAATAACCATTTTCTAGATTCTGAGTAAACATATAAAAAGGATGCAGGCAAACTAAGCCGAGGGATTTATTTTCTGATTTTACAAGTATGATGTTTATTTGAATCTTTTTTTAAAACAAATTTTGGAGCAGGACGCAGGAGACTTATATAACATGTTTATAATGTTTTTACGTTTGTATAGATCGAAAATTGTCCCTATTTAGACATTTAAAATAAGTCTATTTTCGAATTTCCTCATAGATACGCCAAGCATAAAATGGTATACGCTACTGACAGACAAAAAAATTCAAAAATATTAACAACCATGCCCACTTCATGTTCATTTTCTGAATATGACGTCAATTATTGCTTATGTATTTGATATAACAATTCATAATATAGGTACACCACTATTTCGAGCCACGATAAGTGAGGCGAGACCAGTATTGTATAGATACCTACACTCTCTAATTGTCTATACAAGTTTGA